AATAGAAATGCTGCATGGCCAGCGGAAAAGGGCGGACACCAGCAGTGACAGAAAGGGCGGACACATCTTAGGAAAGAATTGAGAACCCCTAACAGTAAACGTTTTGGGGAATAACGATTGTATTCCGACGCCACTGTGAAAACTGGCTCGATCTGCTCTTGTCAAGCCTGGCAAGTCTAGTCTGACAAAGGTCCAAAGGATGCTCACCCAACACGGGGATTTTCCCCATAGGAGAAATCACACCAGCCTTCAGCTGATGAAAGTTGCACATCGGTGGCCAAAATTGGGCACTCTTGCCTAGCATCGGTTTTTGAGATTCGATTCGAGCGGATCTGTGCAGGTGGTTGCACTGCAAGACTTCTGCATCCTGCACAGAAGATCTTCATTCCATCAACAGCCATTAAACATATTGGTGTATGAACACGTATGAAACCACTGTTATGCAGAAGTCCTGCAATCGTGCAAAGGCACGACAGATTGGTACGAAAGGGATCCAAAGGGCAGCTGTTCTTCTTGCAGCTACGAAGACTGGCTATGGGCATCAGCCGCACGTTCTTATGCGACAGGAGTTCTCTTGGGTCACTCCATTGAAAATTCGCAAGTGCAACCTGCCATGCCGTGCCTGTTTCAGTGGCCAAGCTTGCCGCAACAACGCCCAGAGTCATGGCTTGCGATACAAACCAAGAAAGAATCCAAATGCAGCTGCAAGCCATCATCTCAATACAAACAAGAAAAAAACACGTCTGGCATCTTCTGGCGACCTCCAATGGTCCATTGAAAGCACCCTTCCACAAAGAGAATTGACTCAAGCTCAGACCTGTGGTCAAACATGCTATATACTCACAACGAGTCAACACATCCAAAGCTGAGCGTCGGCGTGCTTCCACAGGGAAAAAGATAGATTCTGCTAGAGTGAATGGCACTCGGCCGAATGAGGGAAAAACAAACGAAAGCTTCCTACGTTCGCAGTTGCAAGCGTGTTCAAACAAATAGACTAAGCAAACTAAGCACAGTTGGATTTTATTGCCGCTGCCACTTCCGACCCCTCAGCAGGTAGAAGCCGTCTAAGTTCAAGTCGTCAAAGCGCTGAAGGGCCTTTCGAGCTTTTCGCAAGTGCATGTCAGAGTGACATGAAACGAGGACAAACAGGCACAGTCACACGCCTTGATATCACTAAGGACTTACTTTGCAGTTGCTTTGGGCAAAGGTGGGTAGGTCACGAGCACCAGCAAACAAATGAACCTGGGCAAGCTCTCCCGGCAGCCCACGAACCACCGTCAGAGTTGACTGCTTGCTGGCTCTTTTTGCATGCAAGCAGCGCCATCGCAGGCATCAGTGGTGTGATGGCCAAAATGCATAGTGGTGCTACCCAGTCTGGTACTGGTTTAGGTGTTGGCACACCTTCAACAATATGCGCAGGGGACTTGATTTATCACGTTCAACTTCTTAGTGACAATTTCTACGAGCAATCTCTTGGCCTTTGCATTGACAACTGAAGGGTTGTTTCGGTGGTGATGAAGGAAATGTGTCAAAAGCCTGCCTGTCAAGGGGTCGAC